GCAACGTTATGTTTGAATTCGGGCTAGCATATAGAGCACGCCATATATATATATATATATATATATATATATATATATATATATATATATATGTATGTATATGCACTACGTGATGGTGATGGTGATGGAGATGGTGAAATTTGAAAAATGCTTATTTATTAAATGTATATGCAGTGGCAGTGAAATTCCCATCCTGGCTGACAACGTTCTGCAGTTTTTTTATATCTGATGACAGGGTGCTTCTAAGTCTACAACTCATGCACATCACGTCTACGAAAATGGCGAGGTGCATGACAGAAATCATGGTTCGATCAATGTTATCCTGGGACGACCGATTCAGACGGATGACTCGTAGCAGACAAAGGATAAGGCTTGGCTTTTTAAAGTGGGACCAGGGCAGGAGAGCTGTATAGCTTCATAGCTTGCCGGGTGCTGATGTCGCTGACACCTAGCGTAACACAGTGCAGATCACGCCTTATGGTTATGAAACTGACCAGTTACGCGCGCGCGTCAATGCCACATGCATTCCGGGAAAGTAACGTCAAGATCCAGAAGGTTTCCATTCAATTGAATAAGGTGGTGGAATGCTGCGTCGGCACGCCCCTGTAGTAAACACTTGGTCCGATGGCTGCTGCGGTAAACATTTACGTACCGCGCCTCGGATTCGTCTCTTGTGGACGTGATGTAACGTGACGGGTTTATGGCGGTGGCATCTGCAGGCGTCCCGGTATGTGTACCGTGAGCAATCGCATACAGATGAATAGGGCGGGATCCACACACGAAGTGCATCACTGGTATCTCAGTCGGATACGTTATCGGGCGATGGTGCCGATATCCGGCAGCGCTAATTCCCCGACGCCATCCTGGTATAGCTGAGATGCCACAGCACACTCACCTCTCACGCAGAACCAAAGCACATCTACTCCTAGATGATGTGCTGTTCTGTTCTTGCGCGGAACTGTGAGTGGTACGCGTATTTTTTGGTGGCGCATTTGGAATGGAGCACAGGGTGTTGAATGTAACACATCTGGAATCCGTCTGGAATGTAGCACGACGTGGCAAGCCGACGTTGAGCGGAAAGAGTCGGATGAGGACCTCTGAAACTCGCGGAGGGTACTTCGTCTTGGTGATAATGCCGCTCTGCTTCCTGGTATTGCGACCGGCTGCCGGTGATGGCCAATGTACCTTCGGCACAAGCGTGGGTCGATGAACACCAACTGAGGCTGGCGTAGTAGACCGTGGTAGTCGATCTCATAGGATCAGCAGCTGAAGCTGGTGTAGTAGACCGTGGTAGTCGATCTCATGGGAACAGCAGCAGAAGCTGGCATAGTAGACCGTGGTAGTCGATCTCCTGGGATCAGCAGCTGGAGCTGGCGTAGTAGACCGTGGTAGTCGATTTCATGGGAACAGCAGCTGATATTAATCCGTGTGAGTGGCCCGATGTCACCTTCGCCCGTGGCCCACCTCACGTGTGTGTCGGGCGAACAGTAGCCAGTGCCCATGCCCTGCTGTAGTTGGATCAGAAGACGAGTTGGTCGGGATTGTGAAGGTTGTTTCGCAGCACGTAGTTGCCAGAATTCTCCAATAACACATTGTTTACTATCTTGACAATGATGGGCACGATCGATGATCGGTCTAGAATTTGCCACTTATAATTTTTTTATTTTGTGTAACTATTTTACATAGGTCTTCTCCTTTCGTATAACCCTTCTTTACCGACGATGCTACAATTCATGATGCGCTGAAACAGCCTGACTTGATCTCGGAACGCCTTCCCCACGTTCTGTTTTCAGCAGTAAATGTCTTTCTAGGCAGAGGGGACGCAATGGCGGAACGGTTAGCGTGTCGGACGCCCACGCTAGGGCCCGGGTTCGAATCCCGATTGCGCCATGACCCCTGAACGCTGATATGGCCAATGCAGTAGCCGGCCCACCGTCAATTAGGCGTGAGGATGAACGTCGCGTTCCTTTTTTATTTCAAAAGTGCGTTTTTTGTAAGTTGCTTTAAGGGGAATTTCAACTAACTCCTCAACTCACCAGCTGTTACCTCCTCAGGTTGAGGTGGTGTATTAGCTTTGGGAGCTGCGACCCGTGCTCTAGGCTGACTAGACTGACTAGCTCTAGCTCTCGCTCTGGGCTGACTAGACTGCCATACCCGCGAACCATTAGGTGTCCGTTCCATAGAACGATACTGCTAACTGCGGTAGGCGCGGCCGCGAGTATTGCGGTGACAACGGGGCCATTGTTTGTTTGGTTGACGGCATGAATCACCACTAGTGGCTCGTTCTTTGCCTTGCGCTGATCCCGCATCCGGCACGACGCGTGAACTTTTTGCGTGCCGCCATTTCGCAGCCAACGACTAGCGACAGACGCACTTGCGGACCACGCCGCATTTGCATTCCGTTCTGCAACCGCTTTAACCATGAAGAGCTGAGGTCAGAGGTGCGACACCCGTATGGCACGTGCAGAGGTAATTTAACATCACAGCCAGGCCCTGGTCCCTCTCGGTGCCTTGGTACCAAGGCAAACTCTCGTTGCCGCCTGGGTGTCCCACAGCCCTCCGGCCGTGTTTGGACCCTTGTAGAACCCTCGGGCCGTATCGGGAACCTTACGGAGTCCTCCGGCCTTGTCCGGAACCTCTGTAGAGCCCTCCAGCCCTGTCAGGAACCACCATAAGTCCTCCGGCTGTGTCGGAACTCCCTGGGGAGCCATCCGGCCGTATCGAGACCCCGTGCGGAGCCCTCTGACCTATGTTGTTACCCCTTGCGGAGCCCTCTAGCCGTGTTGTGACCTCTCGCGGAGCCCTCCGATCGTGTCGAGACCCCCTGCCGAGCCCTCCGGCCATCTACGGCTGTGTCTGGGGTCACGGAACCCACTGTCTGTCTGCGACCGTGCCAGAGGTTACGGGACCCACTGTCTGTCTGAGGCCGTGCCAGAGTCACTGGACCCACTGTCTGTCCGCGACCGTGCCAGAGGTCACGGGACCCACAGTCCGTCTGCGGCCGTGCCAGAGGTCACGGGACTCACTGTCTGTCTTAGACTGTGCTGGAGGTCACGGGATCCACTGTCTGCCTGCGGCCGTGCCAGAGGTCACGGGACCCACTGTCTGTCTGCGGCCGTGCCAGAGGTCATGGGACCCACTGTCTGTCTGCGGCCGTGCCAGAGGTCACGGGACCCACTGTCTGCCTGAAGCTCCGGGGTCGTTCCGTCACTGCTCAGCTGATTGGTGCCGGCGAACTCAACCGCCGTGCTGATGCTGACCAGGCGAGCGGCGGCCATCGGATTGCCATGCGCCATTTCCAGTGCACTTAGCCGCGTTAGCCTACCCCGCCGTAATCTGCTTTGGCGGGTACAGATGCGTTTGTCTGACCCGATACGTGCCGATGAATAGTGGATGTAGCCAATGATCCGCGTGCCGCAGTCGACCGTGGGTCCAGGGTTTTGTAGGCATGCTGCCAAGTTTCTGGTCTCGTATTTAGACTGTGAGCTTACATCAAGCAAGCATTCGCCTTAAACGTTAGTAGCCTAATCAGCTGCTGTGTTTTCGCCGAAGCGCGAAATACGAAGCATCCTTCCTCAATCCTTCCGATCGATGCAAATTGAACTGCCTAATTCTCGATTCAATGGGTTTCATCGCTAGGTCGTGAATGACATGGGAAAGTACCTAGCATTGTTTTGTAATATATGGTGGTGAATATATATATATATATATATATATATATATATATATAGAGAGAGAGAGAGAGAGAGAGATATAGATATAGATATATATATATATATATATATATATATAACGGGATATATGTATATATATATATATATCTCTCTCTCTCTCTCTCTCTCTCTCTCTCTCTCTCTCTCTCTCTCTCTCTCTCTCTCTCTCTCTCTCTCTCTCTCTCTCTCTCTCTCTCTCTCTCTCTCTCTCTCTCTCTCTCTCTCTCTCTCTCTCTCTCGAATGATCGAATGATCGAATGATCGAATGATCGAATGATCGAATGATCGAATGATCGAATGATCGAATGATCGAATGATCGAATGGGGAAAGCGAAGTTACGTGGAGACTGTCAGTATGCAGCACAAGCCCACGTGAGCAAATGGCTGGCATGCGAATGAAAAACAATGCACACAGCACATTGTTCAAATAATTGCGCTTGTCGTTGCTGAAAACCGCATACGCATGCGACCAATGATTACAGGAATGTTCGCTTCCACAATGCGCGACAACCCTGACAATCGTTTACTTGTTGAGAACGTGGGCAGCCTGTTTATCACATGAAACACCAACACATAATGATGGTAACATGCTTTACGAAGCACTTGGACTCTTCCAAAAATATTGGAAACCAGGAAGCGTCCTATTGTAATAAATCATAAAACGAATATGTCAACGTCGCGACATGGCTGTCAACAATTTTGGTCTTGTTCACTGGGCAGCATCTGGCAGTCACCCTCCGTCTCTGCGAACATAGCGTATCCGGCTTGCTGTTAAATGACTAGAAACGAGGTGACATGCGAGATTTCTTCCCCTCCCATGTCGTCATAGGATCCGCCACCACTCACGCGACGCTCGTGCGTGGCAGCTGCAGGAGCTGCAGCGGGTAACATTCCAACGACACCAAAAAACGGACAGCGGGGCATTGGACGGCGCCTGACCCAGCGTCACTGGCTTACACTGTGCCGTTGCTCCGCAGAGTACGCCGCCCCGTCAGCCGCCGATGCCGGCGCCCCGCCGTTCAGCGTCGCCCCGCTAGCGGCGCCGCCATGGAGAGCCTGTGCGGCCGTCCGGGGCCGCTGGCCTGGGACGACGTGTGTCACCTGGACCTGGCGGCGGCGGCCGTCGCGCTGTCCCACGTCACGGCCTGCGTCGTCGGCGCGCTGCTCTGGCGGTGCCGCCCAGCCGCCGCGCCCGTCCGCTTCCGCCGCCACGGCGCGCGCTGGGCGCTGGCGCTGCTGTGCGCACTGCTGGCGCTGGCGCAGCTCATGGACGCCAGTCTGGGCGAGTGGTACGCGTCCGTGGTGCACGTGCACGTGCTGGCGGCGCCGGCAGCCGCGCTGCTGGCGGCGGGCAGCGTCATCTGGCTGGCGACCGTCAGCGAGCGGGACGCTGCGCCGGTGCGACTCCTGCTCAACGTGGCGTATCTGGCCATGGCGGTCACACTGTGCGTGCTGAAGGTCCGCTTCTACAGCGGCGTGGCCGGGCTGGGCGCCGACCACATGCGGCTGGACCTGGCCTGGGCGCTGCTCGTCGCCTACGGACTCATGCTGGGCGTGGAGGTGCATTTTGCCATCTCGGAGGTAAGCTTGAAACTGAGCTGTGGGAGCGCGTCTTTCGGTGCCCATGCATGTGTCTTCGTTCGTGCGCATTCACGCTTGTGATCTGTGTGGTGTTGGCAGGAAAAGAGGGAAAACTTACGCGATTCTCCTTGCCACTTTTTGTCCGATATGTGAAAGAGCAAACAGACGACAGAGCCATTCGGCAGCCGCAACGTCTCTGCAACTCAGCCTATTCCGGTTGACGTCACCTGTTATCACTGCAGTGCCGCCATATTACGCCAGGCGATTACCCGCTTTTTACACCGTCGCATAATGCATCCGCATGTGTGCTGATCCAATCAGCCGAGGCACATGCAGGGGGGTCATGTCATGTCGCCTTCACATAACACTTTACACGCGGAGATCAAACGCAATCGCTTTGAGCTGGCGCTGGTGCTAAGCTGCCTTGATCGTTTTTCTGACGCCGCGGCATATCTGGGTATACGCAGTGTTTAGACATGGTCGTGGCATATCACTGGGGACGGCTGCACGCTCCGCTGCCATTCAGACGGAAGTTCAACCACTTCCGGTCAGGCCGCAGGACGCCGGAAGTGAGCCGGACAAGCAAGCCGCCAACGGGGGGGGGGGGGCAGAGGAGGGGGATGGGGTAGCGGTCAAGTCCGCGAACCCGTCGGGATGGGGGTCCGCGCACTTCGACGACGCGCGGGGTTGGGTTCAGCTAGTGTTCTGACCTCCGGCAGTACGGTGACGGAAGTAGCTCGCGCTCCAGAACAGGTCGTGCGACGCTGCGTGCTCGGTCCCAAACTTATAAGTGTTGCCTCAAGTCGCGAATGGTTTTGACTCGGTCTGATTATTATTTTTCAATTCGGACAAGGCAGCGGCTGGGTTTCCTTCGTGCCGTATGCAATGCCGGGACACGGCCATCTCGTGGCCTGCACGGCCCGTGCGCAATAACATGTCTCATGGCGCTCGACATTTGCAGCTTGCATCTGCCTCCGGCGCGATACGGTGCGACCAGGTCCTGACAAACACGCGCTGGCCACGGCGGCAGCGAAGGCTGCCGGGCTAAAATCGGCTTGGGCGTTTCCTGATATCATAAAAAACACAAAAGTAGTCTTTGATGCCCATATGTTACTGGGGTCCGAGTCAACGGGCTCAGCGATGATGGCGCCCGTGGCTGGCCGTGTGGTTGGAGGTTAAAATCACACGCTGTGGCTGCTTGGCTGATGCTATGGACAAATGCAGCGCAGTCTATATGATGCGATATTCATTAGGCGGCTGAGGCTAGCCCGATCATCGTGCAATGTAGGTCATGTATGGGGCTGTAATTACACGGCAGATGTAGCACACGCGTGGGTATTATTTTTGAACGTTATATACCATTTTGGCTTCTCTGTGACCCGTAAAGAAACCCGAATCACATGAAGCATGCACCAAATTACTTGTGCTCATGGGAAGAGGAAAAATAGCACAACTGTCGTAGGCTTACGGGATCCATTGCGTGTTTTGCCTGGGGAGGGGGGGGGGGTTTATCTAGCAATGACAAGCTGGTGGCTAAACACCGTACCCACAGTGGTTCCGCCTTTTTGTTTCGTTATAAGGCAGCGCCAGAAGTAGTAATATTTCGATGAATGAAATATTCAACCCCCAAAAAGACTCATTTTATTTCCCCCCCCCCCATTTTCCCTTTCACGCTGTCTCCATCTCTACGTTATTTTCCTCACTTCCCTCCTCGTTTGCTCGCTGCCTGCCTGCTTGCCTGCCTGCCTGCTTGCTGGCCTCCCTCCCTCCCTCCCTGTGGTGCGCTGTATGCAGTCGTGGGTGACGGGAAAGTCTGGAACCATACCAGTGAGTCTGTGGAGGCGGCTGCAGACAGTGACCCAGCCGCACCTACAGTGGTTCCGCCGGCCACCGCTTGGCACGCGACCGGGTTTCACAGTGGGCGGTGGCCGGCGTGGCCGAGGAACCACAAGATATGACGTCACTCAGCCGTGATCCTGACGGCGCTGGCTGGCGGCCACGGTGCTCAGGGCCACTGTTCCGGGGCCGTTCCGGACCACGCCAGCAGAGCACCCCCGGGACCGCCGGCCGTGACGACCGTGACGTGACGGCCGTGATGTGACGGCCGTGACGTGACGGCCGTGAGACGCGCCTGTGACGGTCGCCGGGCTAGGGACTGTCACCGAGCGCCGGCGCCGTCTCCGGCCGCCGGGCGGCTGGGCGCCGTCGGCCGCCGCCGTCCTATCAGCGGCGTGTCGCCGGACGCGCTGCACGCCTGTAACGTCATCATGGCCGGCCGCGGATCAGGCCTCTGGGGGAGGGGGTCGAGGGCACGCTGCACCCGTCGCTGGTTGGTGCAACGGGTGCAGCGCCCGACCGGCGGGAGGGCAACTCTGGGGAGCTGTGGGGCACCGTCTGGGAAATGGATGAGCTGTGAGCAATACATCCTTTAGACTGCCATAAGGTGTGATCTGTTGGAGGCGCTTGAATGAGGCGCTTGAAGACGCTTGAGGTTGAAGTTCTTCTCCCAATGACGTGGGCTAACATTCGGTACAATGGTTTTCTCCAATCACAGTTTCGTAAATGTATGATATTTATTTATCGATCATTGCCTCACTTTCTCATTTTCGGCTACTATTAGCTTGCTTTACCGATAGGTGCATAGGCCCACGTAACACTCGTCGCGGCTGTGCCCTGTCTTAGCAGCAGGAAATACTGCGGCTCAAGGGCAGCGCCGTGTGTACGAAGTATGACGCGCGCCGTCTGGTCCAAATACTTTAGCTCCAACGCACACAGCCATCTTGAAAGTTGCAATTGAAACTAGGTGATATACGCGCAATCTTTCTTGGGCCTGATAGAAATAGTATATCATTTGAAAGTGGATGATCTACTGTATCAATTGAGCACAAGTATGATCAGTTCCGGTCTTTTCCTGACCTCGTGACGTTTTCTTACGCCCGCGACCATTAAAAAAATCCTATTTTAAAGAGAGAAAAAATCAGTGAATGATGTCCAGTACATTGTCTGAGTGGCGACGCAAGTTTTCTTTACAACTGTGATGTGTCATTGGAGCGGATGGTGAGGTCGTGTCGATATGTTATGACCATGACATATAGACGTGTCGACCGTGTGAACCTTTAGATATCAACATCGGAGCGGATGGTAAGGTCATGTCGATATGTCATGACCATGACATATAGACGTGTCGACCTTGTGAACCTTAAGATATCGTTGATATCAACATCGGAGCGGATGGTAAGGTCATGTCGATATGTCATGACCATGACATATAGACGTGTCGACCTTGTGAACCTCAAGATATCGTTGATATCAACATCGGAGCGGATGATGAGGTCATGTCGATATGTCATGACCATGACATATGGACTTGTCGACCTTGTGAACCTTAAGATATCGCTGGCATCAACATGTAGACTCATGCCGACCTTTAGATATCGTTGGTGCGTATCGCGGAACATATATGCCGATATGGGTATCATTTGAAAGCACGTAGCCCGATCAATACGTTGGTGATAATTGGAGTATGAGGGAGACCGCATGGCTCGTGTCAGTCAGTGACCTGAGCTTGAGCAGTGGTTTCAGGGGAATTTACACCTATTCGACACAGGTATCATTTTGAACACCTTTTAGATCTAAGTGATGAGCGCGGAACGGGGCAATTCCTTGGCCACGAATGCACAGCTGACTTTGTAAATTCCTTAGGGATACCTGTGGGCCGTATAGTGCTATCTGTCAATGTGGGTCATTGTGTTTCTGTGTCGCCGCATGATGCCAGGGGGGGGGGACCCCACCGGCTGGGTGAACGAATGGGCACCCGCTCCACATGGGTGACGGGCTGGGCTGGGTTGGGTGAGGAATCTGGGAAAACTGGTGGTGCGGCTACGGATGTAGGTAAGACGTGTATAGCTTGTGGGGTAGACGCTACGGTATAAGACACAATGTTACGGTGTCGCTTTTTTAGTCACAGTTGTCTCTATTGACACCGTGCAATAATCAGTACGAAATGAAAAAGCTCTGGTGTAACTTGCGTGGGACCCTTCTATGATATGTAACTAAGGTGCGGGCTGAGTGCAAGCGGTGGATGACAGGTGGGCGTGAGGGACAAGGGACGGATGGCGGTCGGATCCGGAAAAGAACGTCTTACCCACGAAGGCCTGTTATAGCAATGCTGTATTTTTGGGGTGAGATGTGCTGTGTATGCATGTATGTCAGTGTTATGATTCTTACAGCAGCCACTGGTCTTACCGAGCAGAAACCTCTTATGTTACTATGAGACTGAGTCACTACTGAATCGGCGCACATAACTGGATGCCAAACACATAACACATGAATGCAGGAAGTAATTTCACGTGGAAGCTTTGCAGGCACCTGTGGCTCAAACACACTTGGTTTTTGGCATCAGCTGCACTATACCGTGCACACGGTGACCAATCAATATGTGGTGAACTACAATACCGCTGCGCCATATTTAGTCACTGGTACTAAGCGGTGGCACGTTTAAATTCCTTTCATGGATCGCACACGGCGTAAACATGTGCGCCATTCCTATGCCATCTCCGATGGGTTTTCATGCCGCGAAAAGAGCAGTGTCTTCGCACACAGGTTTTTGTGACTGGTCTCGGGGAAGGCGCTCGTGCTTACTATGTGGTTTTTACATCGGCCGCGGAAAGCAAGCATGTTTTACGGTTCGCCAAGCAGACCTAACAATACCGTCGCATGCATTTTTGCCATGCGAGGTAGCATGCAATGGCACTCTCATTGGGGCCCAAAAAGTGTGTCAAGATGTCAAATATTTGCAGAGTTAAATCCGTGCCCCGAACATTCGAATGATAGAAAAGGTTAATTGTGTTCTGGTTTTCTTGTTTGGGTTTGGGTTCTAGGTACTGTGGAATGGTTTGATTGGTGTTATGAGCGGTAGAATCTGTCAAATATGACTGCACATAATGCACGAGCGTTAATATATGTATGCATGCAAGTGCGTGATTATATGGAGCCTGCCA